TAATTCACCAGAAGTCTAGGGGTATTTTGGGTACAGAAACAGGTGGCAGATTCAGATTATTGCAAAGAAGGGTAATGCTGCTGAAGAGGAGAAGCTATAAACTCATAAATTTCCAGTGAGCATTAGCCATCAGTTTATTTGCCTGCTATTTTAGGAAATGTTTCCGGTAATAAAACGTCATCAATCTATTATTTCTTTTGGCCAATCTCTCTCAGCCTGCCTATATAACACTCATTGTGGCCTATATTTAACTGAGAATAACCTCTGCTTATTTCCTCTCTTCCACCATGAGTTTTATTCCTTTAACAAGCACAACAGCATGCTGCTCCGGCTTCAAAGAGAAAATTAATTCCGTCCGCAAAAGGGTCAAGTGCTGGAAAGTGCATAGCAATGCAGTTTGCATGGCAGGATCCAGGAGATATGATGCTAATAAGATTCCAAGATGAGAACAGCAGACTGGCTCTGGGGATTCAGATGAAGGGTTCTGTAAATTTTAAAAGAAATGGTCTCCAAAAACTAATGATGTCTGCTTTCCAATTCATTAATAATGTGAAGCAGGGAGATGGGAGTGAGAACAGGCCATGCTTTGAAATATCAGAATGTAACGAGGGAAAAAACAGCGAGAGCTCATCTCACCGGGGTCATAAAGCTCGGAGGAACAGGCGGGCTGCAGGGGAACACAGTGTCGGTGCCTGGAGGGAAGGAAATTGCACTGTGTGTTCTGCGATGTGTAATTTATGCACAGACTCTTAGCCAGCATTGATGTAAAGTTTCTATGAAGAAAAAGATGCTCTTGTATTGACAGATCTTTTTCAATGTTCTTGTTTAAGGTGACTTAGTACACAGTATATTTGATGAGTTTTAAAACCAGATATGAATCGCCTTAGCATATTTACAAATGGCTTTTGGTAAACCTTCCCCTTCACCTTTCTGCATTGCATGCACGAAACCTTAAGCTTGTTTGTAGTTAATATTGGAAGAAAACCCCTCAGGCAAAACCTAATGAACTGAGAGCAATTCTGAGCTTCCCTCTGCAATATCTTGACAGCCTTTGCCTTTCCAAGGGCTCTTGGACATATCTTGTGACCTTGTTGCTTTTGCATCACAACAGCCTTCCATTACTGCTGCAGCATTTGTTGGTGGTGCTGCTGTGCTGACATGATGTTGGAGTCTCTCCCCTGTGCTTGCAACGGGCAGCCAATGGAAAATGTCTGTGCCTGAGCACTTTCCAGAGTGGGAAGTTGTGAGGCAGCAGGATTCAGCTCGGACTTTTATTCTGACAAAGCTAGCATGATTGCAGAGTGAGGTTAAAGTCTTCCTCCTATATCTTTTACTTTTAGCTGTATGATACTTTTCCATCTCACCTTGAAACCTGTCAGCAATGGCTGATGAGGTTCTGCAAGAACCGTACTGCCACTGGCAGCTCTTCAGAGGGAGAGGGGCTCCACTGCCAGCCCTCAATCTGCCCATGCGACTGCCACTCCACTGGGAGCCTGTGCCGGGCTCCTGCAGCTGGACCTGCCTGTGCCAGGGCAGCGAGGGCACCGTGCTGGTGTTCCCTCCCACAGCTCAGCTCAGCTCAGTCCTGCTATTTGTCAGTGCAGGTTTTAGCCCAAGCAGGATCAGTGTCTCCTCTCTGCTGCACTGCACTGCCCTGGAGCCCTTTACCTCTCTGCTCTTAGACCATAGGAGCCATCTACTTGTTTTAGCTCAAGCTGCACTCTCTTGAGGCAGGCCTTGCTCCAGACAGGTGACCTCTCTTAAATGCAGGATTCAGTAAGCGAGAGCAGGTGCTGGGAATTCCTGTCCCCTCAGAAGAGCTGTTTTCATGAGGGCTCATGCTGAGCTGCAGAATCGGGGGTGTCCGAGGGTGTGGTGGGTGGTTTGGGGTAGACAGCTCATACAGCCTGAAAAGGAGACCGGAGCTGAGGTTTGCTTCCTTGCTAAAGCCTCAGCCATGGAGATGGGTGAAGTGGGGCTCTGCATCATGGCTGCAATATGTTCACAGAAAAGGTTTCTATTACAGTGTTTATGAGTACTGTGTATTTCTTTACCCAGAGATGATAGGCCTCTCAGTATTGGCAGATGTGCCTCAGCTGTCCCTAAAGCAACCATGGAGTCATTGGCAGCAGCTTCAAAAGCCACAGCCTTCACCTATGGGGATTTTTTTGCATGTCCTTGGTCTCCAGTGGACATATATAAACTGACTTTAAAGCGAACAACGGGGTCGTACAGCCATATGTATAAAGTTCTCATATTTGCATCTCAGGTGTTTCCTTGGGGAATTTGTGTCCTCAAGAAATCTCAAGAATTTCCTTGAGGGTTCTTCCAGTGAAGTTCTTGGTTGTTATTCAGTATTTCCACACTTGCCTGCAGCCATGGTCAATCAGTGGAAGCAGGCAGGTGCTCAAAGCTGCTGCAGTGGAGGCACAGATGTGAGCATCAGGACTGTCTCATGGCAGTGGTGAAGAGGTGAAAACCAGCTGGTGTGTGGAGGCCCTTTTTGGTGCTGTTCTTCACTCAGACACTGAGCAACTGGGTTGATTTCTGTATCAATAATCTTCCATCATAAACTGCTCTGGTTTGCAGCTCAGCAGTAACATCACTGTAGCCACCAGGACCTCAGCATAAGCTGCTAATTTTTTAAGGTCTTTGCTTACTCCTGTGTTTATCTGTGCTCCTGTCTATTCAGTCCAGCAATCATTTTTTTCTGGACTTCCCCTCACTCTCACGAGAGCACGTGCCTGTCAGTGATGAGTGTAGTCATTTTACAGCTTCTTCTTCCCCTCCCTCAGCATCCAGCATCCACGTGATGCTCACAGAAGCTGGGCAGATCCATTGCTCCTGAAAGCCAGACCCTGTGCTTATCACTTCAGTGTGTGTCCAGTCACCAGTGTTTTGTGTGTCATCACCTGATACTCCAGCCAGAGATGGGTGCTGCAGCAAGGGGAAATGAGTGGTGGGAGGAACACGTTTGCACCTTTCACCCAGTGAATCAGGACACAGGAATGTCAGGCAGGGAAGATTTATGTTATCTGAGCTGCCCAGTAGCAGATTTCTTATTTCATCAGAAAACCCCGACTTTTCCACTGATGCAATCCAGAGCTCTGCCAGAGGGACTGTCTTGGTGGTGTTCCGATGTTGCCATATGATCCCTTTTCCGCTCCTTTTCACATACAGTGTGTGAAAACACACATTTTCCCAGCAGTCCCCTTCCCAGTGCTTCAAACAAAGCCAGGCTGTCTGATTATTTCTCATGACAGGTATAAAACTGCTGGATCCACAGCAGAAAACCTCTTGTGATAAGGAAGCTCTCACTGCAAATAATAAGCCAGATTTCCGTGGAAACCTGCACAGTTCCAGACCCTGGACAGGCCACAGATTCTACAGCAGGGTTCTGTTCTTCTAACAGATACCCAAAGGCAGATTTTCTTTTAATTAAGTATGAAAATATATAATGCAGTCGGCATGATGCTTCTTGGTATGTTTATGATTATACTCCATTTATTTGTTTTGTTCTCAACATCTTCTTCCATTGGGAGGGAATTTTCCATACCACCTGTGTATGAGGAGTGAATGGGACTTAAGGATGGTGGGAGCAAGACAGAGCTCAGTTGTGGTTTTTATTATCAGAGTGCAAATGGGCACCATTTATGGTTGTGAACTAACACACTAACTGATCTTTTCCATAAAATAATATTGACATTGCAAAGTTGATGTTTTTAAGCTGTTGTCTTTAGGTTTCAGTATTACAAAGCTTTAGAGTCCAGTGGAGTATTTAATTTCTCATTACACTTAATGTTTCACCTTCTGTTTCCAAACTCAGAAAAAAATATTTATTGTTTCAGTAATATTCTGACAATATTTTATTATTTTTCTCTCCAACCAAAGGACAAAAATAATTTAATTTCCCCAGCATGAAGATAATTCCATGAATCCCAGCTCTGTAGAGGGAGCTGCTCCATAGAGCCTCTTCTCCGTGTACAGACTCCTTGGGGCTCCTACGTCCTCTGTGTCTCCCAGCTTTGATTCTGCCTTTCTCTTTGCCTTATTTTTCCTTTTGACTACTTTTCTGTGCTCTAAGGTCAAAGGTTTTCCCCATGGAAAGAAAAAGTTTACCCATTCCTAGCCTTTCCTACACTATTTGCGCACCTAGCATCACAAGCCCCATACCAAGCCTGGCAGCGCTTGGGCACACAGGCACAACGGGCAGCGAGGGGCTCTCCAGCCCTTCACCTGCCTGCACACCATGCCCTCCCTGCCGTGTTCCCATCCCGGTGCTGCAGTTCTGCAGCTGGAGACAATGTGCTGGAGCTTTCTGTCTGAGGGGAGTTCAGGGAGGGGAGAGGGGAAAAGGCTGTTAGATCTATTGCTGGCAATTTAGATTCAGAGACATTTCATCTGCAGTTCCCTCAAGTGTTGAATTGAATAAAACCAGAGCAGCAGTGGAAAAGGAGGTGGGGGAAGGGCTCCAACCACTCTTAGCTAAACAAAAAGAGACAGGCAGCTCATAAAAAAGGAATTGCACCCTTGAGTTGAAAATCTGGATTCACAGGGCAGGGAGGAGGCCGCGTGGCAGAGCCCACCCATGGCCAGGCAGCACTGCTGTGGATTTCTCGCACTCCTGCAGCCAGAGCAGATCACAAGGCTCAATTCTGGGTTTCCTGATTTTCTGTTGATTTTTTGAAGCTCTTGTTGTAAAATCAAGCAGGAAGAACAGAATCTCAGGCTTTGGTTGCAATTAAAAAAAACCCTGTCCTTCACTTTCCAGTGCTTTAGGAGAAAAGTCCTCAAGGGTCAAAAATTCAAAAGAAGTAACTTAACACTTATAATTTTGTAAACACTTTCTGCTGAGGGCCATACTCATCATTCCCAGTTTCAGCTGCGGGATGGTAGAAGTGTTCTCACCATTAGGCATTTTTGTTCCTCTGCCTTTGAGGGAATTGCTCTGGCTATGCACTGCAGCACCTGGATTTCTCTGAATCTGTCCTATTCCCCAGGTGTCAGGTGAGGACGGCTTCACAGGAGCGCTCATCCGGGCCAAGGCTGGGAGGAGAGCCACAGCCATCAGAGAGAACCGGGTTACAGCAGACAGTACATCCTCAGGGGCTCTCCTGCCTTGTGCGAGTGTGGTGCCAATGCCCCTGCAGTGCCACAGGGCTGGCTGTGGCTTCCTTCAGGTGGGAAGGCAGGTATTTTGTTTGCCCCATCCCGACCTTCTTTATTGCCCCTGTGCTCCTTTGGTACATGTTAGTGGCAGATCTGCTGCCTTACACTTTGCTCAGCCCTGCTTCAGGCCAGGTACAGGTGTGCATACAAAGAGCACCTGCTCAGCCCTGCTTCAGAACAGGTCAGGCTCCACAGCCAAAGCCTGACCAGCACTGAGGTGACTCCATGGTACAGATGGGCAGCCTGGGCAGGTGTGTGGCACAGGGCTGATGGCAATTTGGCCAAGTGTTGTGTTTGCATTACAGCGTTCCCTGCCTAAAAAGTGTCCTCTGCCTTTGTGGTGCACCTGCAGAATCCCACGTGAAGCACAAAGGTAAGACCAGGGTGAAGAGCTGGGACTCCTCAGCACAGCACCAACATCTTCCCTTCAAGTGATTTCAGCTGTAAAACAGGACTCTTACCTGTGTCACCAGAATTTGGGAGTCTGATTAGCCACATCCTATAAAAGGCTGAAGCAGCCTTACTGTAAATCCTGGACCAGAGACCACAGAACAGGAGAGGCTGTCTCACAGGCATATATTTATGCTGCCCTGTTTCACTGTACTATCGATCCAGCGGCTTGCTAAGATACAGCCCTGCCTGCTGTGGTGGTCTAATTCATTTTTAGGCATCATTATTTTTCATGTTGTGGTCTTCCCCTGCTTCGGGTTCTTCTCCCCACCCATCCCCAAAAATGCCCATTCCTGTCTGTCTCTAGGCATGAGATGCTCCCACATGTATGTGTGCATACCAGGGAGATGGAGAGGCAGCTTCAGCTACACTAAGCAATTAAACTCCAGTAGCTCAGGGATGAGCAGGAGGCCGTGATTTTCTTTTCCTTCGCAGTAATTGCCTCTGCAATCAGCTTTGATCACCCGAGAGCAGAAGAGATGAGTGCTGCAAGTTGACATCAGTGGTTTTAATATATCCATTTACATATACAGGAGCAGTGCAGCATACAGCTTTCCATAGCGCCTCTGACCTGAAACCATCGCCGCTCCATAGATACCTCATTTAATTTAATACTTCACCACCACTGCGGAAGCCATACGATGGGGATGGGAGGGGGCATAATCAAGCCCTCACTCTCTCGCTCTCCGTGCATGTCTGTAAAAATGACATGAAAGTAATTGCTTTTGAAAAGCAAAGCAGAAATAGCACAATTGATTCTACTTAAATGAGAGGAGAAGGGGTGGGGGTGGGGGAAGCTCACCCTAAACATGCCACCTTCTTTCTTCTTTCCTGCTGCAAGAACATCGCTGCGTGGGGCTGCACTGGGACAGAAGAAAGGTGGGCTTGTCTGAATGGCACGGGAAGGAGGGAAGCTAGGGCAGGCAGTGCTGCTTTGGGCAGAATGCACACCTTGGTGACCTCGGACCCACAGGCAGATGCTGCTCCATGGAGCCATGTGGCATGCCCTATTGTCACAGGCACTCCTGGTGCCCGAGAGCTGGCAGGGAGCTTCATTGCACTGGAAATCCTAGAATCACTCTGCCTACCAAACCCACTCACCTGCCTGGCAGCTGGGGGGAGGAGGATGATGAGGGTGAGACATCAGCTCCTCTCCATCTCTAATGTATATCTCATAATCCCTGTTGACAAAGCTTTGTGAGCCTATGGTTTTGGAATCCAGTCTCCTGCTGCTGGTGGATGCTCACCCTTCTGCCAAGGACCTCCCAGTGCCCCCTCTGTGACCTGGCACACCACTCAGCCCCCCCTCTGTGGAAGCCAGGACCTGGCATCATGGGCTGTGCGCTGCCAGTGTGTGCTGAAATACATCTTAATTGTAGACAATAACATGATTTTGTGTTAATTACATGCAAATTGATTATTAGTATATTTATAGAATGTTGACATCTGAGTGACAGTCTTCAATAAATATGTTTTACTAATCAGTTAGCATTAATTAATATCAAAATCCTCTGTAGGTTTAGCAAGTCAGTGAACTTTGATGAGGCTCCTCTGTTGCTGCCAGTGTTGCTGGATGTTGGCGGTGTTGCTGGCAGCACTCATCTGTTCTGCAAGCAGTGTGGAGCACAAGTGGGCCCAGGGAGTCCAAGGGTAGTGGTAGTGCTGGAAGGACAGATGGACACATGCCCAGAGGGAGAAGCCTCTGGGAAACATTGCTCTTGGGAGAGCCCCCCATTCAGCAGGGCCTGCCTGAGGGCAGGAGGGCTGCCAGCTTGAGCCAAGGTGGTAGTGGCCAGGCAGTGCTTCCAAGAAGCTCTGGAGACCCCTTTCTCCAGGACACAGGGCTGCTTCCAGGTATATCTGAGCAGCAGAAGAAGGATGCTGTGCACACAGGACCCTTGTTATGGAAAGGCAATCCCCAGCCAGCATTGCAGAGTTCTTATGCTGAATTTAAGCCACCAAGCAGATCAACTCCTAAGCTATGTGGGCAACATTTTCTCTTGCCTCCCCATCTTTAGCAGGGCAGGAGCCATACAGTGCCTGCTGACTGTGGCTTCTCTTGCCCATCACAGAAGATGAGCAGCATCCCTGAGGAGTAAACGGCCAAGGTAGCGGGGAGAGTAGCTGTGCGCTGGGGTCAGCACTTGACTCTTGTCATGCTAATGCTCCTTGGTTGACAATTATGATTCTTCCGTGCTTCCGCATTGTGCAAACACCTTAGAGCTGGGACACCAAGAAGTGAATACGCTGAACCCTTAGAGCTGCTTCTGTTCAGGCAGATGGACAGGCTGTGGGGTGCCTGAGACCCTTCTGCTCTGCTCTGAGGACAGCAGACACAGGGAAAATGCCTGAAGAGCTCAACATGCTGCTGCAACAGGAGCTGGGTGTTTGATTACTGGTTAGAATAATTTTGGTCTTTCTCAGCTGCTCTTTGCTTCCCTCACTGCAGGAGCCTGACACCCCTTCTGTGAGCAGAGGCAGGTGCCCCAGTCAGCAGGGTTTCTGCTTTCCCGAGCTGGACATGTCTGCCTGCTGTGGGCAAACATGTCAAATCACACCTACCATATTGGCTTCCTGTCCCCAGAACATCAGATTTTTGCAGCTAATGTGTGGGGGGTGTCTCCTCCTGCCAATCCCCACCCCCAGCAGCATCAGGTCTGTGCTGTTCGGGGTTTTGTTAAGCCGTTTAGTATTAATTGATTTTTTTTTTTCCATTTTTTCTTTCTTTCCCTGGGCGGGTCAATAGCTGGATGCTCAAGAGCAGAGGATCTATCAACTGCAGACCAAGCAGAGGGAGAGGCAGGCAGACCTGGAGCAGAAATGCAGCCAGAGCAGCAGCTCAGCCAGGACCTGGGGGCCAGCCACCAGCTACGGAAAGGAGCTTGGAGCAGGTAGGAGAAGATACCAGTCCACTCTAGCTCAGCAGCCCAGGCTGAGAAGGGAGCTCTATTTGATGCATTCACAGCAATAACAATAATCTGCTGCTCTTGTTTACATGGCAGTGTAAGGAAGGGCTGAAGATGTGAGAGTAGAGTCTGTCACCTCCCAGTGAGGAGGGGAAGATGGAGGCAGCAGGGAGATGGCTAAAGCTCTGCTGGCTGTGAATGGGTGGTGGGATTGCAGTTGCTGTGGGGGTGTGATGGCTGTCATGCACGGATGTTGTGGGTGCTGCTCTGCTGCTGACCTTGGAGAGACAAGAAGAGGATGGCCACAAAAATACTGCCTCAGGGCAGAGCTGTCCTGGCTAGTGGTGACATTTACATGCTGTGAGCCAGGAGATTAGGATTGCTCAGACCTGTTCAGCCATGCTGCTGTGGACAAAAGCCTCAGCTTGCCCCTGGACATCAGGGTGGGAGCACCCTTGTTCCTGCTGGAGGTCTGCTGGGCAGCCTATGCCGGTCTACCCCATGCTGGATCTGTTTGCCCCTGCCCCGCCACCGACCCCTGTATTTCAGAAGCTGTAGAAGTCAGACTCTTTGCTCAGTGTGCTCCCCTGTGTGTGAGCCTGGCTTGGGAAAGCACATTGCTCCCACCTCTGCAGACATCAGGCTCAGGCACCAGCATTCCTCAGTGGACTCCAGCTACAAGGTCTCCTTTGGATCCACATGGCAAACAGGGGTGAGGAGAGCTGATCCTGGAAACCTGGGGCACTCCTGCTGCTGCACACTGCAGCGTTACTTGCTTAACCTGATATCCACTTGTCCCTTCAGCACCACATAAGCCATTTAAAAATATGTCTATTTTAACAACTTGCTAGTGAAATATGCTTGGGGTTCTGGTAGAATAAACCAAGTACTTTTGACATTGGAGTACCAGGTACCAGCATACTGGATACTCAGCACTGCTGGTTTGTCTAAGCAGCAGCTCAGAGGACAGTGTTTAAAATAGAGTTGGAGGTGTCCCTCTTATTAGTCAAAGTAGAGACATTTTGTTCCATTTGATGTGGTGATGATAAATATATTCCTATGAATATGTTCATATATCTAGTCATACATACATGGCAATATATATAAACAAAATGCATTGATTACATTAATTGCATTTGAAGGAAAGTTACAAGATGTTGTTTTATTTACTCCTACATCATCCATTGTTCTGTGTGTGAGGAGTCAGCCCAGCATGTGGGCAGAGCTGTGCGTGGCAAGCCCGCATTCTAACTGCCCACAGTGAAGGTGGGAGCAGGATGTGTGTGCCTTTGCCTGCATTTATGGATGGTGGCAGATGGATGAATGTGGGAGAGGGTCAGCATGTGCCTTTGTTTTATTCTGCATATGCATATGGACGATCATGTGTTGATTTGTGAAAGGACAGCATGGCAGGGGGGGAATGACACTCTGCTTCTTCCTACTCCCTTCCCTTCCCTTCCCTTCCCTTCCCTTCCCTTCCCTTCCCTTCCCTTCCCTTCCCTTCCCTTCCCTTCCCTTCCCTTCCCTTCCCTTCCCTTCCCTTCCCTTCCCTTCCCTTCCCTTCCCTTCCCTTCCCTTCCCTTCCCTTCCCTTCCCTTCCCTTCCCTTCCCTTCCCTTCCCTTCCCTTCCCTTCCCTTCCCTTCCCTTCCCTTCCCTTCCCTTCCCTTCCCTTCCCTTCTCCACTGATGTAAAATTCAGCTGAGTCTTGCTGTCGGTATCAGCGTAAAAGTGGCAGATAAAACAGCTTAGCTCTCAACTTCCTTTTACAAACCTCCCAGTTAAGCATCAAGCCTTGTTATATAAAAATATTACACTATTCTGTGGCAGAACAGTGTTCCACCTGGCTCTGTGTCTGGCAGCAGCTTATGGCCTTGTCTAGGAAAGAACTCTTTTCTCCTGGGAAGAACAGGGGAAGCTTGTGAGCTTCTCTTCACCAAGATGCTCACGCACCTTCTGTGCTGAAGGAGCTTCCTGAACCCAAGGGGGGGAGCCTTTTGTTTAACAGCCCTTGAGGAATTTTCATCTATAACTTGTCAAACTAATTCTGAAACTCAGACTTCTGTAAAGTCCTGTAGCAGTGAGTTCCCCTGTTTGACCATGCTTGACAAGAAGCCACCTCCTTTGGCTTGTTTGGAGCCTGTCCCCTGACAAATTCCACTGTTTTCTTGGAAAAGACCATGACAGACACTCCTTAATCACCTTCCCATAACACTTCTGATTTTATAGATCTTTGTCATATTTTCTTCCCAACATCCTTCTTTTGGAAAGAAGGACTCCAATCTATTTCTCTGAGCCAGTCCCAGCTGCTGATAAATTTCCTGTTGTGGGGTCCTGGACCTGCCAAGGCTGGTGGTCCTGGGTCCCTGCAGCAGGCAGCAGGATTCCTGTGCAAGGAATGCCAGGTGTAATTTAGCACTAGGAGCATGAGTTATGGTCCTGCCCTTTACAGAAAGACTGTCAGCGCAGCCCTGCTTGTCAGCTTAGTCCCCCACCTGATCATGAGCTTTCCTAGTGAATGAATTAAGACTTGGCGTATCATCGTTTAGTACAGCCCCCATGCTAATGTCTCTTTGAAATGAAACTGAGAAAGCTGTTAACCTCAGTTAGCCAGTTGTCCTCACCATGACCTGGATAAATCATCCAAGCAGGAGCACTGAAGAACAGAGCTCTGGCTGTTTTGCAAAATGAGTTGTAAGGGAAAGATTGTGCTTCCAGCTCATGCCATAAAGACTCCTCTGAGCCAGAGCTGTGCCAAAGAACTAGTGTGTTCTTACACCAGAGACCCTGATGGGGCTCCAGGCTATGTGTTCACTGGTACACCCCCTCCCCTGGCAGCAGCTGCTGAGGGGTCACAGTGTCACACCACAGGTGGGAAAAGGCAACGTGTTGTATCTGGAGAAGAGGGGATGAATTCCCACAGGGACCCCAGGGACAGGTTCCTTCTGCTCCTGCCATCCAGAATGTTTCAACGTCCAGCTCTTCTTTGTGACCATGTCATTTTCCACATTCATTCCCTTCAGCTGGGGGCTGGATTCTCCCCAGGGATGTCTCCTTCACCACATTCTGAAGGTAGCTGGCCTTGAGCTGGGAAAAGAGATGAAGAGGACACTTTGGTGGCTGCTGCCAGGAGATATGGATCTACAGGAGCAGGGAATTTCTCTCCATTAGCTGTTTTGACATTGGAACCTGTTATCTTTATAAAGGCCTCATAACTTCATCTGCTTTCGCAGGGCATCTGCTCTCATAGCTACTGCTCTGTGTGGCAGGGAATTCTACTAGACAGGGTGATTTCTTTTGTGATTTCTCATCTGGCTACTTTACTGGGGTTTGGGTTTTTGGTTTTTACTTCTGTATGACTGAGGGAGATCACAACACCAGCTGTATGTAAGAAAGTCCATGAAAGAGGAAAAAAAGCCATCTGCTCTCCATGTCCATGAAGAACTACTGGGCAGAGCCTCCATCAGGAAATATTTGGGTTAGGTCCAGTTTTCTAAAGGGAAGGAGAACAGAGCAGGTGAGCAGACTGCCAGGGCCGAAGGATCCTGCATCACAGGAGAGCTTTAAGGACAGATATACAAATACACAGGGTACTTCTAGGTTCCCTTGTCTCAGAACTGGAAGACAATCAGCCTCTTGATGTTCACATCAGCATTGCTCATGCCCTAAATCTATCCCTGCTCCCACCTTGTAATGCAGCTCTGCCTTTCCCAGAGCCCCACCACAGTCTGCTTCAGTGTTCCCCTTCTTACTGCCAACCTGCCTGGTCCCAGGTTCCCTGGGAGGCTGTAACACATGCTGAAAGGAGCAAGCAGAGCCTGAAGGAGGTCACTGGGTGATGAAGGTTCCAATACCACCATCTGCATTACATGTGCTGCTGTGCCACAGGCTTTGGCCAGAGTCCCTCCCATGGTGGGGAACACATGAGTGGAGGATGAGGCAGAGATAGGAGTGTAGATATGCTATCAGAACTTTTGGATTAAATTTCCCTTCTCAGCAGAATAGCTGTGTGCAGTTTCTTACATGCACTGCTCTGCAAATGATCTGTGCAGGACATGGCTGCAGTCAGAGACCACCTGAAGATCATGATCCGCCTGGAGCAGGCAGTTTAGCTCTGCAGGGCTGGCACAGGCAAGGGCAGGGTCTGGCTGATAGACAGACCTTGCCTCAGCTCCTCAGGGGCTGTAGGAGTCTGCTGCCCTTTACCTTGTCCCACTGTACGAGAGCAGCCACGGAGTGTTCACAGAGGAGGGAGGAATGGTCACAGGCATAATACCCTGTGCCATGCACCATGTACTGTGTGCCATACACCAGCACTCAAAGCCATTCTCAGACACCCTGCAACATCAGCAGAGAGACAGGGACTGAAATACATGGCCAGGGCAGTCAGGGCAACTGTGAGCCAAGGTGAGCCATGCTATTTGTGTAGACACCAATGAGGAGCCCCACTGGGTACCTGTATCTGAGAGCCAGTTCTACAGCACAGTCATTAAAGAGAGAATAAAGAAAATAATAGAGCATTGATTAAAATGGTTGGCAAGGCTGATTTCTCTCCATGCAGCCTCTGACAGAGCAGACTTTGGGGCTGGGGAGGAATAGGCAGCCTCCAGGCTGTGAGGCTAATGCAGAGCCATGGCTGTTTGTATAACTGCAAAGCTTTTAAGAGAGACCTGGGAAAACTAGCTTGGATTCCAATGAATATTTACAATTACACTGCTCCAAAGCTCAATCCAATCACAGCACTGCAATGTGCAGGCTTCATGCATCAAAAGAAAATGAGAGGAAAACAGGGAAGATGGAGTTGCCTTTGGAGGGACTTACAAACACAGATCTCTCTGCTTCTGGCAGAACTAAAATGCTTTATTTCTGATAGGAGCAATTTATTCTTCAGGCATTTTGCTTGATATTAGAAAGTGCCTGGCTGGTTTTTGAAGTGAGTGTCTTCAACAGAAGATCTTTAATTCAAAATGAAAGCAAGAAATATAAAGTGTTGTGCTTTGTAATTTTGATATTGTGCTTACAAACTCCAGAAATAGGGGAGCGTTACCCAGCTGGAGCAGGGGTCCCTTCCACTTCCTTCCACTGTGTTCTTGATCACCATTTAGAAGCAGACTGAGTATTTAAACCATGCTGCTAATATGGAATTTGGCTGGTTACCATGCTGGCTGAGCATTCACTACAGCTCAGTATTGGCCTTTTCTTTCTTGCAGTAGAAGGTATGCAAAAATAATGGTGATGGGGAATTACCTTGATAAAAAGATGGAGGATCTGCGACTGCTGAATCACTGCTGAGAGCAGTGTGTCACAGAATAGGAAGTGTGTGACAAAGCAGAGACGCTGCCTGAAGTAACAACGGAACAGCACCACAGAGCTGACCTTTGTCAGCTGCTGCTCTGGTGCCGTCTGCATGGCCTGTCCTGTCCACTCTGCCCATCCTGCCCACACAATCCATGCTGCCTGCAGCTCTAACCTACAGGACTGTAAATAGTCAGTGGCCTCGATGTGGTCCCACAGCATGAAACACTACTGCTCTCATTAATTTGAAGTACTTAAGGTATAGCCTTGCATTCCATCATGCAGACATTCCTAAGCACCACAGCAGCACAACAACAGGTGCTTCAAAAGAACCAGATTAGTATTTACACTAAAGAACATGCAATTTGTTAGCCATGATGCCTGCTTACAAGCACAACACCTGGGAAAGCCACCTCTGCAGTGCAAACCCTCTCCTTCCCCACAGCCCACCAGGCAGTGTGTCCCACCCTGGACAGAGAGCAGTGGGGGGCTGCTTCCAGCCTGCACTAATCCCTCCACATGGTTTGAAGATGATGCTGTCGTCTGGTGCCTGCCACCTCATGCATGCACAGATCTCTGCTGCTGGATGGCAGTCCGAAAGGATGCTGATGGGAAGTCCCAGGGCGCTGGTTTCTGATCTAAGTCAGTCATGGTGTTGGTGCAGAGACACGCTCCATCACACGCAGGCATGGCACACGGTGTTCCCTGCAGCTTGGTACAGGCTGGAGTCGATAGCCCTCAGCAGGAACTTGCAGTCAGTATTATACTGTCTAAGAGGCTTAAAATCAACTGTGAAGTTTCAGTATAGCTACAAAAAACCTGTTTTCTATTTCTCCACTGGTAGCTTGTTCTAGGAGAAGACAGTGCAATTTGGTGATTCATTGCAGGAGTCTGGTTGGTGCATCCATGCTGGGCTATAGAGGCCACAGATCCCACGGTGGTTCCAGGAGCACTCTGCCAGCCTCAGCCACCCGCAGCTCATGGGCTCAGGAAGCAGAAATGGGGTCTTGCATTCCATCAATGTGAGTGGATATTTTTCTTCCATTAAAATGTTTCATTTATTTTTGAATGCGTATGAGCTTTGGGGGTGCACCACACCCTGTGTGAAGCAGTCTGACACAGCACAACATTCAAAAAAAATCTGGCTTTTGCTTTTTTATTATTACCTGCAAATTTATGAGGTGCTGTCGGTTCTTACATTGAAGGGATGATGAGAAATCATACTGCAGACAACCTCTATTTGTGAAACTTGATACTATAATCTTCTTCAGTCTATTTTTTCCAGCCCAAAAAGACTATCCATTTTTAACTCACATGGAAAATACTCTGTATTTTATCATCCTTGTTGGTCTTCTCTGAAACACTTCCAAATCTTTTTCTTGAGAGAGGCAGACAGAGCTGCATATAGAAATCACAGTGCAGCTTTCACTATGAATCTGTTCATTGGCAGAACTGTGATCTGCTCTTCATTATTTTCCTGATAATTGTTAACAGTCAGTTTGCCTTTTGGGCTGCTCCTGGGCACCAAACAAACGTTTCCACAGATCCATCTCTCCATCTTCATCTGATTTCATTCTAGCACAGCCCCAAGCCTAATTCCTGAGGAGGAACAGAGCTACAGCAGCTGAGACTGCAGTGAGCTCTTGTGAGAAAGATGGTGCAAATGCCCCAGATCTTCAGCAAGATTAGGACCATCTGGCTGAGTCATACCTTGGAGACTGGGGACAGCTGCTAAACATCTGGAAAAAAGAAGACATTTTATAAGGTCAGCAGACCTGGCCTCTTCCAGACACATTTACCCTCTAGTGTTTGCCCACCTGAGGGGCTCGGTAATGCTGTGGAATGCCAATGTAGCCAGATGAATCAGTGCTGGCGTGAACTATCCAAGAGCACAAATAGCATCATGTTCTTGTGATCCTCCTTTGCATTTCCTTCCTGCAGGTTCCCGGGGTTAGCAGGAAGGGATTGACCTCCAGTACCCACGGTCGTGAAAATTTCCCCTTACTCTGAAATCAGTAACTTCTCTGACTAAGATAGCTTCAGACAAGCGTTTGGCTGAACTTGAAGACATCAAGAGACAGACATCCTCCTCTGGCAGTCAGTCTCTTCACATCACTCCCACTGTTTTGGGTTTTTTTCTTCTCATGATTGCTATGCCAACAGAGCTAATGAAGCTTTCTATGCAGCAGCAATATGGTCTTGTTTCCCTTGGGTTTTATCCTTTGTCTTAGAATACTCCTTTCTTTTTGGCCAGAGACTTAAGGTTAACAGGGAAGGGAAGGGAAGGGAAGGGAAGGGAAGGGAAGGGAAGGGAAGGGAAGGGAAGGGAAGGGAAGGGAAGGGAAGGGAAGGGAAGGGAAGGGAAGGGAAGGGAAGGGAAGGGAAGGGAAGGGAAGGGAAGGGAAGGGAAGGGAAGGGAAGGGAAGGGAAGGGAAGGGAAGGGAAGGGAAGGGAAGGGAAGGGAAGGGAAGGGAAGGGAAGGGAAGGGAAGGGAAGGGAAGGGAAGGGAAGGGAAGGGAAGGGAAGGGAAGGGAAGGGAAGGGAAGGGAAGGGAAGGGATGACCCTCTCTTTCTGTTTCATATCTCTATCTCCATTACCTCCTGCCCTTTGGAGGTTCTCCCTGTGCTCCCCACCACCAGAGTCTCTTTCCATTTACCCAGCACCTTTTGGTTTTTGTCTCCCCTCAGCCCCTTGCTTTTTACTGACCTCCCACACAGTGCTGCCATCACTGCTGGCTCAGAAGGAGGCCCCAGAGCTGCTGATGTGTGTGTCCAGGGGCGCTATCCCTCTTCCAGCAACTTAGTGACTGTAATTGTAAGAACCACCAATGCCTAGTGTCCTATGACCAGACCTGAGCAGCACTGCTTTCGCTTCATTTGTTCCTTCCATTTTCCATCAGAATTTCTACTTTCTGGTGACTTCCATTTCTTGGTTCCTTAGAGGAACACATGACAGCTCCTACAGAGTTTGTGTATGTCCTTAACCCACAGATTGAAAAACCTGAGATGCAGTTGGCAGAAGCAGCAGGGGAAATGGTGTCGTGATGGTGTGAATACTCACTAGCAGCAGCAGTGGGTGGAGGCAGCTCCAGGGACCGCTGCACACCTGCGGGGCTGCTCCCGTGCCCATCTGCGCCTTCCTCCTGACCCTGGGGGGAAGTGTTTAAGCACAACCATCCCTGGGTGGCCTGCTCTGGCTGACACTGCCGGGGCAGGACAAGGGGATGAGCCAGGTGACCGGGTGTCTGACCAGTGGGAATGTCAGAGGTTGGCTTCTGGGTGACTGGGCTGGGTGGACCTCCTCATGCACCAACACTCCCCACTATGAGCTTTCATGGGAACATGTGGTAGGTAGAGGAATAAAGCAGAGGCAAAACACTGATGTGCACTCTGGGATGTGTCATGGCCTTTCAGCCTCCACTAGAAAGACAGCAGGGCAGAGCAGGTCCCGACCCATTATTGCTACTGTGGCTGTTTCCCCCTTCTGTTTTTACACATCCAGTTTGTTCTCTCTTCCTTCCCTCTCCCTAGAGCTGCTGTGGTTTTTAATAAGTATTTTTCAAGTAGCTGGCTGAGACCCTGGCAAGGATAATGAGATCATTCACACCACAGAATGCAAAGCCCTGCAAGTCCCGATTGCTATCGCTCCCGGTGGACTATGCCCATACTGCCTGTATTTCTGTCGCTGTTCCTCATCCCAAACACAGCAACATGCCCCGGGCAGTACCGGATGGATCGGGCCGGGGTACAGCTCCCTGCCAACACGAAGGGCCAAGAATTGTCACTGGAACCGCTCAGAAATAACCTTTAAGGCTTATTAAGATTCTACCGACGGAGACGTTGATCCCGCTTCCCCGTTCATGAATTCCATTCCCAGTTCAAGACCCGCCAGCCCTCTGCCTGCCCCCGGTTGAGGCTGAGCTGCGGTGGGAGCAGCGGGCAGACACGGCACGGGCACTCCCATCACCGGGCACCTCTGCTCCAGGCAGCCCCCGGCCCGGCACTCCCTGCACCGCCATCCCTGGGACAACCCGCTCAGGGAACCTCGGCTCGGCAACGCCGGCCCGGGCACGCCGGCCGGGGCAGCGCTCCCCGCCGCCCGCCCAGCCCGACCGGGACCGCGGCAGAACAAAGGTGCTGGGGGTTGCTCGGGCGTGCCCGGGGTGCGCTTGGTGGTTGCCCGGCGGGTGCCCAGGCGGTGCTCGGGGACGCTCGAAGGGCGCCCGGGAGAGGCTGCTCGGGGATGGCCGGAGGGAGCGCCGGGGGACGCTCGAGGGGGGCTCGGGGGTGCTCGGGCGGAGCCGCCCTCACGGGCAGCGCCGCGCGGGCCGACAGCGACCCCTGCCGGGCGGGAACGGCCACCGAGCGGAGCTTGGCAGCGCGCATGCGCGAGGCCTCCGCCGCAGCCCCCGGCAGTGCGGAGCCCCGGGGCCCCCCCAGCACCCCGAGCCCCGCTCCGGTCCCCTCAGCACCCCGAGTCCCGCTCCTGTCCCCACTTAGCACCCCGAGCCCCGCTCCGGTCCCCTCAGCACCCCGAGTCCCGCTCCGGTCCCCTCAGCACCCCGAGTCCCGCTCCGGTCCCCTCAGCACCCCGAGCCCCGCTCCTGTCCCCACTTAGCACCCCGAGCCCCGCTCCGGTCCCCTCAGCACCCCGAGCCCCGCTCCGGTCCCCTCAGCACCCCGAGCCTTGCTCCGGTCCCCTCATCTCCCTCTCAGCCCCTGCCCACTACTGCTACAGGGTGCCCAGAGCAACTGTGGTTGTCACATCCCTGGAAGTGTCCAAGGCCAGGCTGGACGGGGCTTGGAGCACCCTGAAAGGTGGAAGGTGTTCCTGCGCATGGCAGGCGGTGGAACAACATGAGCAGATGGAGAGTCCTGGCTCAGGGCACCAGCAGGGCAGTGAAGACCTCATTAAAGGACCAGCATCAGTTTCTGTTTTGGGATCAGGGACTGATAGGCAGAGCTGGAAATGAGCCATCCAGACTTAGTTCCAAGTGGCCATGGATGGCCCATCCACAGTGTCCAACTTGCTCTGCCAAGGAGTAACCATTTCTCTGTGTGTTGAACTCCAGTTTGGATTGTGTCATCTCACAAATATCAGACTGGGGTGCACTTCTGCCCACTGATACAAGAGCCTCCTTCTGCTCTGTTCCCACTTTCCTCTTGCATTCTGATGTGTGACCAAATTACCCCTTGCTCTGCACTAAACCTCTCACAGAACACCACTTGAGTTGTGCACTGCCCATGGCTCCTTCTGGAGCTTTTCCTAGAGCTCCATGGTCCCCCTGCACCATGAGCACTGGTAGTACACAGGTTCCCACTGCCGCAAAGGGTCATGCCACCACTGCAGCTGGACATTTGACTGCCCGAGTAGCCACCAGTGTGTCCCACACACTACTGGGATATGCCAGTGCAGCAGCTGCTGCATGAGCTGCTTGTGCGTTCATGTAAGTACAAACAAGACCTTAAGTCATCTCTTCTTTGGCTCATCTGTGTGAAACAAGAATCACAGCACTTGTTTTACAGAGGAGCCCTGCAGTTAGGTTCATGAATATCAAGTGGTTTGAGCTCCTGTGATGGAAGATACTGGAGATAGACAAAGGGGCACCAATGGCCTAAAGCTGCTTAAGGCCCAAGCAGTGGTCTCACCCAGTTGCACTGTGTTTGCTAATCCAAGTGTGCAATCAGCACATACAGGCAACGTGTTGGTTTGGGCTGTGTCACACACAGCACCTCAGAACACTCTCAGTGTGAGCTCATGCTCCCCAATAGGGGTGACTGGTGTCTGCACAGCCACCAAGGATGGGTGATGTGCAGGGGAGGACGGAGCTGGCAGTGGCATGATGACGAGATGGATGTCATCGACACATAGTCATGGCACAGAGCACATGCAAACCTCCTTCTACCCCAGCCAGTCTGAATGAAGTCCCAGCTTTGTTTTCTGATTTCCATTTTGTCTCCTAAAATATTCACTCCAAGTTCCGCTTGACAGACATGCCTAATCTAATCTCCATGTCTGCTTTCTAATTTTCGCAGCCAGGATAAAACAAATTGGCTGGCGTTAATTGCCTGTGCAGCGGCCTGGAGCTCTGAGCCGTGATTTACGAGCTTGGAGCAGGCGCTCTGCAACACATTTTTCTTAATTTATTTTTAATGAGTCTCTCAATTAATTTTCTTGGAAACATCTTAATGATGTTGGAGGCGGATGTTAATGAGGTTTGTAGCAGCACCTCATTTTGCATATTTTAACGTACTGAATGGCATGAAGCAAACTCCTGGTCCTAAAACAGAAAAAAAACTTAAGATTGGAGAGGACTCCTGGGCTGACATTGTTGCCCTGGCTTGAGGCACCGCATGGGCTAGTTGGTGACTTTGAACATTGTGAGGCTGAAGCTGGTTGAGCCCACAGGGATGGCAGGACCCTGGCAGCATGGGAGGAAGTGAGGGGCCATGCTGGGTCATGGTTGGTGGCCAGACACTTCTTAACAGATGGAGTGAAAGCCTAAATAAAGAACCTGGGCACTGATACCCCTGTGCTGGCATGTCCCATGTTGTGGGCACCCCATTCCCTGCACACTCCCAGACAGACCTTTTGTGCAGGAACTCTCCAAGACACAGGACTAGGCTGCCTGGAGCTGACTATGGCGGGGTGCTCTGGGGTGTCTCTGCTGGCCCGCAGGGTCATTGGTAATTGCTGATGCATGTGCCAGCAAGAGGCAGCAGCTGGATTGCCTTTGTTTTCTCCCAGCATGTCAGTCTTCATTAAACTGGAGGGGAATGAAAAAGGATTCACTTTTGTCCTAGCCTGAACATGGCAGCTGTTTAATTTCAATTAAGGTGGCACTGAAAAGAGTAGCATTACGGCAGTAATTAAAGTGAGACAACTCCCACCCCCAGGACTGTGCTCACACAGCAGAGGGGCCAATTTTGATCCCCGTCCTCCTAGCACCAGCTGAGTATGGGCAGGCAGCTGTGGATCACAGCTGTGGTTCTGACCCACACGCTCATAAGGAGCTGGAGCAGCACTGAACCCTTCAAGGCAAGCACTGCCATCAGCTCAGCACGGTGTGGCACATCTGTGGTACAGCGCAGCATTGCCTGTGGCACCATGCGACATGGCATGGCACAGCACACATGGCAATGAGGCTTTGTCCCATAAAGGCTCTGTGCGCTGTGGATACTTTGTGCCCTGGCTGTCGCTGCCTGCATAAGACTGAAGTCTGCAGGGAAATTTTATTTCCTCGCAGTGGCAGAAACTGTGGCCAAATTCAGTTGTGTTCTGGAAGCAGGGGGTTCAGCAGCCCTGCTCACAGGACTGTTGGTGCTGTGCCTGTTCCCATCACCCGTGACTGTGACCTGCCAGTGGAGCAGGTTGTCATGGCAACTGATGATTTCTGTTATGGTACATCTGCGTTCACCTTCTGGGCCCAGTTTAGCCTCGGAAATTTCCAGTTAAAACACTTACCTTACAGTGAAACTGCACTGAGCATTAGCAAGGGAGCACACACAGCCCAGGGAGTCCCAAGTCACCAGCACAGGCCAGCAGCAGGTCTGCGCTCACACCATCACTGCGCATCAACAGTCAAGGCAGCGCTGGCACCCAGAGACCGCGTCACTCATCCGATTGCCTGGGCACTGTGGGGTGGCCCCAGGCAGGGCGGGACATGCACCCTCAGCCCTTCCCGCCCACACTCCTGCTCCTGCAGCTGGACCAGTTTGTGGTTTGTGCCCCTGCAGAAGTCCAGGTCCAGCTGCAATTCCTGTATCATGGCTAGCACCTCAGTTGACTCCAGATTTTCATGCTGTGTGTCCTGGCATGCTCTGGGCTCCGCATGTTGTGGCTCCAGTGCCAAGGCTTGCCTTTGGCCCTAGGACATGGCATGAGCAGCATGTGTCCAACTCACCACTGTAGCCAGCTCCTGTCTGGGCAGGCACTGGGGCTGGACAATGCTGGCAGTCCTAGTACTGTGCAGAGCAACACTGGACTGTGTTGCCAACGGGTGAGTGCAGCCCTTCCCCACCAGGTAGTACTGCCCCATGTGTGTGCATGTTCTGACAGTTCCTTTGGGCTCACAAATGTTCAGAACACCTGAGAGCCCAAGTGTGAGCAGCTGAAAAAGTGAGCAGAATTCCTGGCACAGCCTGGCCTGAAACAGGGCTGGGCTGATGGTCCCCGCTGTGCAGGGACAGCTGGGCACCAGCTGCCTGTCCAAGGCATGGGCTGTGGGAGGACTGCCTTTGCAGGGGTATGGGCCAGGCTCGAAACAGGCTGTACATGTCCTCCAGGTCACTTTAATTTTGTACCCTGTTCCAGGTTCTACAGGGCAACAACTTGACAGCACCAGCCCTGCATGATTCTGCAGAGCTACCTCCACCAG